TATCTGAAGGATGTTGTGTTCCGTGCTCCAATTGCAAATTTAGCGGAATTAAAGGCACGCATTTCGCAACACATTCTGAACATCACCCCGCAGACACTGAATCCGTTGTGGAACATGCTGTTGTCGCTTTCAACTTGTTCACACAACGGTGGACACCATATTGAACATGTTTTGCGCCAGTTCCGAACTTCTTTGATGAATGGTTCTTATGCGGTATGTCGCCCCGCAAACTCTTGAAACCGATTTGTCCCTTTCGATGTGATATGTAAGAAATGTATAGTCATGCAAATAAAATTATTCAACAATTCTAATTGGTCAATGCGTTTTAATGTGTAACTTCCACCTTAGCCATCATTTCTCGTTTCTCGTCATGATTCTGCCACTTACAGCGCCATCTGTTGCTAACTTTTGAAGCTAAATTTTTTCTTCTGCCATACGCTTTCCGCCTTCTTCAATAACGTTCCTTTCAAATTTCACATCATTTTCATCAATGGTTCTTTTTTTATAGCGTTTTGAAACTTAAACTTTAATTATAATCACCCTGTATATGTCAAGGAAAAAAAACCTCTTCTGAATTCATTTTACTATTCTTTATGGAAAAACAGTCTTTTATCTCTGTACGTATAGATGCCACGCAAAAACATCATTCAAATGGTTTTGAGAGCAGTTGATATGGATATTTTCATTGAAATACGATACCTGAAATTTTCACGATTACAATACTTCCCACAAGGAAGTAAAAATTTATACAGTCAAAAGTCTTTAATCCGGACGTCCATAATCCGGAATTATCTATAATCCGGACTTCAAAGCTACAAACTTTCTGTGCATGCATAAATGCACAATACCTTTATGCATGCACATAATACGTTTACGCACGAGAGTTTAATGTATAACGGATGGTACAAGCTAAGCTAAAATTATCTATTTCAGTTAATGTTGCTGATTGTGTTGTTCCTAAATCTTCGAATTGGATCTGGCTTATTATTTTTTATAGACTGTTAGAGCAATTTTATAAAAGTAAGCTTGAACTTTCCATTATGTCAAAGAATTTCCGATTCTGGAGCTGCCAAAGGATCAACAAAGCGAAAGCTTGTTTCGATGTCCATCAAACAAAAAGTGGAATTGCTGCAAAAAATGGATAAAGGCATATTCTTTGTTTCTCTAACCATTCCGTCAATTTTATGCTGCTCTGCGGGGGAAGGGGGCGTCACCGAAATCCCGACGAGTCCGGATTAAAGACTTTTGACTGTATTAGAGAAATAATGAACATTAATATCCTATGTATTGTAATTAATTTTGCTTTTTAAAATTTTTAAAGAGCACTATCTATGAGAGCTGAAGAGTTTTCTTGGGGAAGACCTTATGCAAACTGCACTAAGGCAGTTGCATTAATTGTTAATACATAACTTTATTATTATTATTATTATTATTATTATTTTTTGCATGTGTATGTGTTAATTTAGAATTCATAAAATAGTCAGGTAACAAATTATAAAAGCTGAACTTAACCAATGCACAATCAGCTAATTAAAAATGCATATAAGAAATTCTGAATAATTAAAAATAAATATAAAAGTTAAAAGATAATTAATGGTAGTACTAAAATATTTAAAATGCTTGAAAACAAAAGAGACTACATATTTGGGTTCCACAAAGAGCAATATTTATTTAAGGATTATTATTATTATCATTTTGTTGTTGTACTTGAAATAAGACGGTAGGAAATACATCATGAAATGAACTGAGGTGGAAAATAACAAATATTTGTGACTTGTTGGTGCTTCAAGCATTCAACCTCAAAGGTTTTTACTTGTCAATGGAATGCTTTTGGCCAGTCGTCATATAAAAACAAAGCGTTCTGCGCAACAAATGCGCTGCTTTTGATAGAAGATACAGGAAAGGGTAAAATTACCCTGAATAGTAAAACTACCCAGAATCCAAATATAGTGGAAATAAAGCTTTTTGAGCTGGTAGCAGTGATGGTAGATTAAATAATCAGTTATTGCCGAGATCATTAATACAGGAATTTCAATGAAATACAGTCAAAAGTCATTAATTCGGACACCCATAATTCGGAATGATCTATAATCCGGACCTCAAAACTAAAAACTTTCTGCGCATGCGCCGCGTTGACACATGCGCATAGGCGTTTACGCGTGCGCGTAAGACCTTTTACGACTGTGCATATGAGTGTGCGCAAGTGCAGAATACGTTTTCGCGTGCGCGTTTTATGTATAATGGACGTATAAGCTAAAATTATCTAATTATATATTCAGTTAATGTTAATGATTGCGTTGTTCCTTAATCTTCGAATTGGATCCGGCTTATTATTTTTTGCAGACTGTAAGAGCAATTTTATAAAGTAAGCTTAAACTTTCGATTATATCAAATAGAATTCCGATATATATTTGTTAATATGTAAAGGATCTAAAGCGAAAGTATGTTTTGAAATCCGAAATCTGTTTATCAATTTCACGCTGCCCGGCGGGGGGAACGCCGCGGCGAGCACATAATGAATTGGAAGTTGATCTGTCAGCACTATCCTTATCTTCAGCGCAGATGTTTTTATTTTATTTGGCTTATAATTCCTTACCAAATGTAGTATTTCATCTCGATATGCTCTGTCTTTGATATGATTTAAAACAAGTTCCTCGTCATTATAATTCGCTTCTGATAGTGAAGAAAAGTGACAGAGGTTATTAAATTTCAATTGACAAATTAGTCGGTGTTCTTGACACAGAAATTATAGGACTTGAACAGCGGAACTTTGTAACTGAACAAGAAATTATGTCTGTTTAATAGAATTAAAGAGAAAGTATTATCACATAAACAACTTACATTGAAAGAAATGTTTAATAAAGTAAACAAATAAATATTAAGCTTTTTCTTTTTGCAAATTTTGATACCCTTTAGATCATAATTGTTCTTTATTTCATAAATTACGGTTTCATATTTTTAATTTTAGAATTTCTTTCTGCATGCCATCTAACGAGATTTAAACTGATGATCTATAATCCGGAAAAATCGATAATCTGGAATCACCGAAGTCCCGACGAGTCCGGATTAACGACTTTTGACCGTATACAAATTGCATAGGGCCAGTATGTTGATGTTACATATATAAAAGGTACATAAATAGAATATAAATTAAGACAAGAAATGATTGCACTTACAGAAATTTTAAGCAGCTAAATACAGTTAAAACTGTGCAATGTAGAAATAATAAGTAAAAATTCAAAATGAGTGTCTTTTAGATTCGTGATAGAGTAGTTAAATTAAGGCAAAACAACTCACAATGGGTGGTAAAACAAAATTTAGAATGCGAAAAAAGAAAAGCAAATTGCAGATTTCACAAAATCATTATTTTACTATTGTGATGAATTGTTCAAGGCCTTATTGTACAACAATAAAAAAAATTATTTGATTTTATTCAAACAGCATATAGCAAAGTAAATGGCAATCAAAATTTTAAAATTAAATTTATACAACAATTTTTGGTGCTACTTTCGTAGATAGTTACACGGATTTTGGCGATTTTTTTTTTTTTTTTTTTTTTTTTTTTTTGCGAACGATACGACTTATGGTAAACCCATTGCTAGATAAATTATTTATGGTAACCGATACTTTGTTGTCATTTTATTTAAAAAATAATGCCTTTTATTACACATAAATTCCATGTTTTAAATATTATTTATGGCTTCTAAATATTAAAAAATCAATTTAAATTTGCATTTGTATTCGAAATAAAAATTTTATTGTTTATGATATTTTATGTAATTTTATGTTGTGGATGATGTAATGAATGACATAATATTACTTTAAAAGTAATTGGTTTTAATATCTATAAATTTAATGTTTTAAACATTATTTATGGCTGTTAAATATCAAAATACAACTTAATTTTGCATTTTTTTAAAAGTGATGTTATTATGTATGATTATTTAAATAATTTTAATTCTATGCATGATGTAATCAGCTCCCTGATTGGTTACAGAAAATTTGTGCATAAACAAGCTGTAATCAGCTCCCTGATTGGTTACAGAAAATTTGTGCATAAACAAGCTGTAATCAGCTCCCTGATTAGTTACAGAAAATAGTGCATTAACAAGTTGTAATCAGTTCCCTGATCGGTTACTGAATATTTGTGCATTACCGTGCCATTTTAAAATTTTATTTTTCATTTCTTCGAATTCCTTAGATTACATTTTTCAAATTTTTTTGCCTTAGATAACATTTTTAAAATTATATTACATTTTTCAAATTTTTTCATCGATACCTAAATGATGATTCCGATTTTTTTTTTGTGGTACTTATCAGTATACAACAGGTTAAATACTCAAAAAACTGTAAGTACATATTTTTCTTTTACTTTATAATTGTATACTTCAATTTTTATTTAAAAAATTAATACTGTTTTCAAAAATTGCCAAAATATTTATTGCCACATGTTTTAATGTTAAATAATTATATCCTATAAAACTAATTTTAAAGTATTTGAATTTAAATAATATTTTAATTGTTTTAAACGTTGGATGATGTTTTTAACTTGATAGTCGATTTAAGTAATATTTTAATTCTTTTAAAAGTTGGTATGATGTTTTTAATTCAATATTTAATTTAAGTAATATTTTAATCCAATTAAATGTTGGCGCAATGTTTTTATGGCGGTGGTTTTATTCTAGTTCTTTGCTATATGAAAGTAATAATTTAACCTTACTTTAGTATTTTATACTCATAGTAAATGCATTTATTTACTTTTGCCTGCCATCTTAAAAAACGACATTTTCAAAAAAATTTTAGTCTTATTTTTAACGATATTAATTTTCTTAAAGTTTGGAATACTTTAGTATGCATAAAATACATAAAAACAGCGTTTTTCAAGATGGCTGATGATTGTAAAAACTGTGCCAACGTAAATTAACAAAAGTCCGTGTAACCGTCTACCAAAGTAGCACCCAATTTTTATACAAGGTAGGATATTTATTAAACTGACTTACATGATAGATGGATCAACTTGTTTGTATGCATAAGCTGAACAGGCACCACAATACTGATAACCAGCATGCCTATATAAAATATTAAATGATGCATTACATGTAACATCCATATTGTTAAGATACTAATTTCTGTCATGTTTTCCCCTTCCTCTAAAGTATAATCATATTCTTTTAATACATAATGCATATGATTTAGTAATACAGTCAAAAGTCTTTAATCCGGACTTGTCAGGACTTCATTGTAACTTCAGGACTGTCTGGACTTCATTCACTAACACCATTTGTAGATCCTTTGGTAGCTCCAGAATTGGAAATTCTTTTTGACATAATTGAAAGTTCAAGCGTACTTTTATAAAATTGCTCTAACAATCTGCAAAAAATAATTAGCCGGATCCAATTAGAAGATTAAGGAACAATGCAATCTGCAACATTAACCGAAAGAGATAATTAGATAATTTTAGCTTAGCTTATACCGTCCGTTATACATTAAACGCGCATGCGTAAACGTATTATGCGTATGTGTTGGCGCATGCGCAGAAAGTTTGCAGCTTTGAGGTCCGGATTAAAGACTTTTGACTGTATACATAATTTTTAATATGAATATTATTAAATCATTCATGCTTCAAAACAAAAGATGTAGAAATGCAATTGTAAATGAAATATATCATTCAAAATAGCTACATTTCAGTTTTAATACTATTGACTTATTTCAAATGAACAGAAAATTAACTGCTTAATTTTTTAGTTACTTCTAGCTTAACTTTAATTACAGATTAAAATAACTTGTTCTAAAAGTTTGGTACAATTTCACAATATGTGACGACAAAATATCCTGCTAATGAACTGCCTTTATCCTGAAATACATTTTGTACATTTATAGAATTGAAATAACTTATGTTTGCCCCTAAATAATAATAAATACGAAAAACTATACTTACGGTGCAATAATAGCTCTAGCGGGACTATGATTGGGTTCACCAGCAACGCTGAGCCAGTTCTCCAGTTGGTTACTTAATTCAGAAGCTAAAATAAATTATAAAAAGTTTATAACATCACAGTTCATGCATTTAATTCTTATAACAGGAAAAATTTTAAAAACATTTTGCCTTGTTCTTATTACGTGAAATATAAGTTTATCTATGTTTTTAAAAAATTCAAAACTGTCTTTTTAATCAAGAATACATAAATATTCTCTTTTCAAAATAACATTACAATGAAGCCTGACATTTATAAGTAACAAATTATTATTTCCATAGAAAAGTACATTCAGCAATTATTAAAAATATAAGCTCATGTATAGTACAGTCAAAAGTCGTTAATCCGGACACCCATTATCCGGAATGATCTATAATCCTGACCTCACAGCTACAAACTTTCTGCCCATGCGTCAACGCAAAATAAGTTCGCGCATGCGCATAATACGTTTACGCATGCATGTTTAATGTATAACGGACGGTATAAGCTAAGCTAAAATTATCTAATTATCTATTTCAGTTAATGTTGTAGATTGCGTTGTTCCTTAATCTTCGAATTGGATCCGGCTTACCATTTTTTGCAGAGTGTTAGAGCAATTTTATAAAAGTAAGTTTGAACTTTCAATTATGTCGAGTAGAATTTCCGATTCTGGAGCTGCCAAAGGATTTATCTACAAAGCGAAAGCATGTTTCGATGTCCATCAAACAAAAAGTGGAATTGTTGCAAAAAATGGATAAAAGCATATCTTTTTGGTTTTTCTAACAATTCCAAAATCTGTTTATCAATTTCACGCTGCTCTGCAAGGAGGGGAGGAAACATCGCAGCACGCAATGAACTGGAAGTTGATCTGTCAGCACTATCCTTATCTTCAGGGCAGATGTTTTTATTTTATTCGGCTTGTAATTCCTTACTAAATGTAGTACAATCAAAAGTCTTTAATGCGGTCAAAAGTCTTTATACGCACCGATAACGGTGGGGAATTCTGTAACAGGCAATTCGAAGGGTACTTAATCGAAAATGGAATTAGTGTTGAACGCACAAATGAATACACCCAGAAGGGAACAGTGTGTGTGAACGTTTTGACCGAACGGCATAAGACACAGTTAAAGCTATGCTTGATGATGGTAAAATGGGAATAGAATGGTGGGCAGAAGCTCTTGTCTGTTTCGTACATATGTGGAACAGAATATGTCATAAAAGCAACCGAACCCCTTATGAAATGTCCTAAATAGAAAACCCAGTGTTGTTTATTTTAAAATATTTGGTTGTAAAGCCTATGTTGGCATGCCAAAACAGATTAGAAATAAACTACAAATGAGGTGCAAAGAAGGAATCATGGTAGGATATGCGAAGGAAACTAGGGGTTATCGGATATGGCTGCCAGAAGAACGTAAATTAATAGAAACCTGTAATGTGAAGTTTGATGAAAAACTGAACGCAGCAAATGGCATCCTGGAACAGAAATCAAAACCTAAATTTAAAAGACTAGAAGAATCTGAGCTATTAACAGAATCAGATGAAGAACAGGAAATTTCTAGAGAAGAAATAAAGTTGTCAGATGACAAATCTACTCCGAAAGAAGTATCAGACTTAAATTGGCAAAGAAAAGCAGTTAAAAGGCCAGATGGAACACGTACAGACATATATTATTATGTAAAGGGAACAGACACCCGTTTTAGATCGTATAATGATATTGAAAAGTATTCTGAGGCAAAAAATATTAAATTTGAAAAAGATAAATTCGATTTTAGTTACAAAAACGAATACTCCGGGAAAGTTAATTTCATAGAACAGGAGACTAGCTCCGTGTCTGAAGAGGCAAATTCCGTAGAAATTGTTACCCACAAAATTTTAAAGAAGCACGAAATCAGTAAATGCCGAAGAATGGGATTAGGCAATGAAAAAAGAAATTGACACAATGAAGAAAAGAAATGTTTGGGAATTAGTCAAAAAGCCAGAAAATAAAACTATGATAGGAAACAAATGGGTCTATATGCTAAAAAGAAATGAAAATAATCAAGTGATTAGATACAAAGCACGTTTAGTAACACAGGGGTTCAGGCATAAAAGAGGTGAAGATTTTGATGACGTTTACAGTCCTGTAGTAAATTTTTCAATCGTAAGAATATTTTTCACTATCCTGGTATGCTTATATGGATGGACTAATTGTCAGTTAGATGTAAGGAACGCATATTTATATGCAAACCTAAATGAGAAAATATATATGACCCAACCAGAGGGATTTATCGAAGAGGAAAATAAAGTGTGTTTATTACACAAGGCCATTCACGGTTTACATCAAAGCGGCCGTGAATGGTTTTGTGAATTTAAAAGTAGTTTAGAAAATCTACATTTTAAGAAAATACAATGGTGTAATTGTGTTTATAAGGGTTCAAATGTAATTCTCTTGTTATATGTAGATGATATTGTGATTTTTAGTAAAGATAAATATAGTATAGATAAAGTAATTTCACAGCTGAGTAAGTTTTTTGATCTTAAAGTATTAGGCAAAACTAAAACGTTACTTGGAATTGAATTCTTAGAGAATGAGAATGGGGTTTTTTATACATCAGCAAAAATATATCGAAGAAATTTTTGAAAAATTTAAACATTTCCAGATACCAATAACTTCACTTCCCATAGGTAAGGGCACTATTCTTACAAAATTAGATTGTCCATCTACAAGTGCAGAAATTGCAGGAAATGCATACATTACCCTTTAGAAATCTGTTAGGATGTTTAGTTTTTGTAGCTAACAGGACAAGGCCCTGATATTACATATGCAGTGAATATCTTATCACAATTTCAGGAGAATCCTTGGAATTAGGCATTGGGAAAGCATTGTTGAAATTGCTTGGTTATCTCAATAGTACTAAATTATATAAGTTAAACTTATCGAAGATTAAATATCTAAATTTATATTGTTATTCAGATGCTGATTATGCAAGTAATAGAGATGACCGCGTGTCCATGGGAGGATTTATATTATATTTAGATCAAGTACCGGTAATCTGGAAAACTGTTAAACAAAAATGTGTAAGTTTATCAACCATGGAAGCGAAGTATATCGCCTTATCTGAAGCAGCGAAAGAATTAATGTGGACGAAAAATGTCTTACAAGATGAAATTTTAAAGTTTAATTTAAGAGAGTGTAAACTATTTTGTGATAACAAGTCTGCCATTGATTTTTCTAGATTGCCAATAGAAAACCGCCGAACTAAGCACATAGACGTAAAATAACACTTTGTTAGAAGACTAGTAAATGATGGAGTGTTTGACCTTGAATTTATCACCAGTAAATTAAATACTGCAGACTTATTTACAAAAGCAGCGACTGCTGTTAATTTAAGAAAGTTTTGTTTAGATGTTTTCAGTGTTTAAAGACAATAAGTGTTTTCGTATAATAGAATTGAACTATGAACTTCTGTGCAAGTTTTGTTTTTGTCTTTGCATGAGGAAAAGAGGGCCGTTTGTTGGCTTTAAGTTTTCCACATGCAAATTTTGATCGAAGGTCAATCGAGGATAAGCTAACGTGGTTGCCGCTGATCGGCTGATGCCGATGACATCAAGATCGGCGGGTTTGCCGAAGTATTATATATATGTACGCCGGTATCGGCGAATGTTCTTGTTCTCTTGTGTGATTATCAGTTAGCATTATGCTAGTTTTTCTTTCACTTAATGGTTTTAAATGTAAAGGCTACAGTGTTATCTCCTTTATTTTATTTACAGAATAAAGCATGAATTTTATTTAGATTAGTCTTAGCTTTATTTAAGGGAAGCAAAATATACCACTGCCAACAATATCAAAGACGGAGTACATCAAGATGAAATACTACATTTAGTAAAGTATTATAAGCCGAATAAAATAAAAACATCTGCTTTGAAGATAAGGATAGTGCTGAGAGATCAACTTCCAGTTCATTGCACCGCCGCGACCCCGAGAGCAGTGTGAAATTGATAAACAGATTCGGAATGGTTAGAGAAACAAAGGATATGCCTTTATCCATTTTTTGCAGCAATTCCACTTTTTGTTTGATGGACATCGAAACATGCTTTCGCTTTGTAGATCTTTTGGCAGCTCCAGAATCGGAAATTCTTTTTGACATAATCAAAAGTTCAAGCTTAGTTTTATAAAACTGCTCTAACAGTCTGCAAAAAACAATAAGCTGGATCCAATTAGAAGATTAAGGAACAACGCAATCTGCAACATTAACTGAAATAGATAATTAGATAATTTTAGCTTAGCTTATACCGTCCGTTAGACATTAAACGCGCATGCGTAAACGTATATGCACATAATACATTTGCGCAATTGCGTTTATGCATGCACCGAAAGTTTGTAGCTTTGAGGTCTCGATTAAAGACTTTTGACTGTATTTCATCTCGATGTACTCTGTCTTTGGAATGATTTAAATCAAATTCCTCATCATTATAAATATCACGAATACACATCAAATAGTTTTCTGGTTGCAATTTTCTAATTTCGACTATGTGTAATGTATGCTTTACGCATGCGTGCGTTGAAAGAAATGTTTAATAAAGTAAACAAATAAATATTAAGCTTTCTTTTTGTAAATTTTGATACTCTTTAGATCATAATTGCTCTTTATTTCATAAATTACGGTTTCATATTTTTTATTTTATAATTTCTGCATGCCATCTTACCAGATTTAAATTGATGATCCATAATCCGGAAAAACCGATAATCCGGAATCGCCGAAGTCCCGACGAGTCCGGATTAAATACTTTTGACTGTAGTAATTTTCAGATTAAAAATTTGGATGTACGATGTATCGTGTTTAGTGAATGAGCACAAAAGACTAATGATCATTGAGACTGTAAAATATTTTAAAAGATATATCTCACTGGCCTTCAAAGTAATTCCTCTCTGATGCAATGCACTTCTTACAATGTTTGTTTCACTGTTGAAAAAACATGAAGAAATTCTTCACCATTCCAAACTAATCTTTTTTCAGCTAAAGATATTACCCCAAGTTATTCAACAGCCCTGGTCAACAAGGTAAAGATAATGAAACTTTTCTTACTAC